AAACAGAAATCTTAGCGCAGTCAGCAGGATGTATGCCAAAACTCAAATTATAATTTTCAGATTTTAAAAACTTTTTCTTTCCTATCTAGATCTACCCCTGTTACTTCTGGCTTTAAAAGGTAGTCCTTCCTTCCACAGGAAGGTTGCGTCTGTCAGCTCCCTCCTCTGTTCTGCACCTCAGCCCTCCTCTTTAGCAGTGGAGTTCATCTCCAGTTTGATCTCTAGCTTTTGATGTCCCCATCTGACAAAAAGGGTTTGGACCCAGTCATCCACAGCGTCTTGCTTTGGATTAGTCACTGAGTTGCTGCACACATCTTGGGTAACTTCTCATCAGACCTTGACTTTCCCACCATCTCCCTTCTACTTATTGTCTCCTATATTTGTTTTTTTAGCAGAACGCGTGTTGAAAGCTGCCTTTTTCCATTCATCATCTCTAGCTTTTAAAATAATATTTTACTCTCTTTGTAGTTCTCCAGTTTTAAAGGAGGTGTTACCCTTTTCTGGTCCAGAATATGTAGTTAGTTCTAAAGGGAAGATCATCAAATGGAGAAATGCTGGTGCCTCACGAGGATTGTTCTCCAGGAGACCTGGTACAATTTTCTCCTGTTTTAGTAGAGCTACCGAGATGCTATTTTGTTGTTGGATAATCCAGTAAGGCTGGAGAAATAGCATGATCTTTTTTTGTGTGTGAAATGAATGAGATTTTTGTGATCTTTGGTCATGTAATGTGATGGATTTGATTTTTCTGCTTTCAGTTGTTCTTTACGGAGTTGAAACTGCTAATTCCACCTTGCTCCCTTGCTGTTTCGGCCATATTTCCGGCATCTTTGACCTCACTCCAGCTGCCTTGCTTGCCATTGCCCTCTTTGATCTCCTTAGGGGTATCAGGCCTTCTTCCATGGCTCACCCATGCCTTCATGTTATTTATTTTCTGTAGTTGCAGCTCAGAATTAGAGGCTGCTGATCAAGTGGCCATCTTTGAAGGCCTCAGTTTAGTAGGAAGCCTTCACAGGCTGGTTTTACTCCACTTGTTACAGAGTTCTTCCTTTATTTTTCATAGCAGAAGTGACTTACCTTTTGTCATGGATGCTCTCTTTTTCTTACTGCAGTATCTCCCCCCGCCTCGCCTTAGCCCTCACCCTCTCAGATAAGCACTTCCTGTGCTCTTTGTAACCAACATTCCAGACTGGAGAGTTTATTATGCCATAATAAGGAAACTAGTATTCTTTATTTCACATTTTTCTGTCAAGAAAGACTTGTAATTGGCCAGTTGTGTGCTGTGCAATTTAGTGACTGCCAATGAAGCCTGAATAATAGGAAAAGGGATCTATGTATTATTATCACTATGCACACAGCTCTTGCTGGAAGCTAGTTTCATAACGCAGGATCACAGAATAGTTGAGGTTGGCAGGAACCTCCAGAGATCACCTGCTCTAACCTCTTTGCTCACGCGGGGTCAGCTAGAGCAGGTTGCCCAGAGCTGTTTCTAGTTGGGTTTTGAGGTCTCCGAGGATGGAGACTCCACAACCTCTCTGGGCAGCCTGTTCTGGCGTTCAGCCACCCTCACAGTGAAGAAGTGTTTTCTCACGTGAAGATGCAAGTTCCTGTGTTTTAGGTTGTGCCCATTGCCTTTTGTCCTGTTGCTGGGCACCACTGAAAAGAGTCTGACTCTGCCTACTTTACACCCTCCCATCAGATATTTCTAAATATTTCTAAGATCCCCCTGAGCCTTCTCTTCTCAAGGCTAAAGAATCCCACATGGGGAACACTAGTGCAGTAATCATCTCTGTTTACCGTCTTAAACACTTAGTTCGACTGCGTATACTCTCGTGTCTTCTAAGAGGTGAAAGATATCTCACAGATACATGTGAAGTGCTGTGAAATGAACTGCATTCATGTATTTTGCTCTACCTTGGAAGAATAATACCAAGATGATGTTTCGTTGTTAGCGTTTTTGCTTGTCTAAAAAGTCCAGCTTTTCCCTGACTCAAAGAAAGTTGTTTGGTAACTAAACCTGTAGCTTATTGCTGCCTTCCCCTCCGTTCCTTAGTTTCTGAGGTGGGTGTCGGTGGGTAGGAACAGAATAATGTAGTTAAAGCACAGCGCAACAGGCAGCTGCGTGAGACAGCCAAAGCCTGGTATGGCCTGCTGAAGTGTGGGCTGATGAGTGTAAGTGGTAATCTGACTTCTGACACTTAAAACTGGGCAACAGTTGTTTCAAATGTGTGGGTTTTGCCTTTGCTGTATTAAATGAAAAGTGTATCTTCTAGGTTAGATAGTTTCATTTCCACCTTCTGTCCTGCTATCAACCATGTATGTAAACTTATGGACTTGAAATGTAAATGAATGAAGGTTCCGTTATTATGGTTTATGCATTCATATGGAAAATGGTAGTCTCTTTCAGTATCCTCTGAATGTTAAGAATGATTTGCCATTGTTTTCAAGCATTCTTTTCATCTTTCTTGGTACCTAAATTCCTCTTAACATAACCAAGTCGTCCCTTGCCTCTGGGGAAAGCCACTAATAGTGTTCTGTTGAAGGCTGGTTGTTTCTGGCAGCGAAGGAGGGAGTAAGGGTATGAGTATGCCGTATTGAATTTTGATAGCACATAAGACTCAAAGTTCTTTTTAAAAAAAAAAAAAAATTGTCAAGGACAATAAATAAAAACATTCTGCTTTCATTTGTGCATATCTGCTACTAGTTCTTCCCTCTGAGGCTTTCAGAATGTGGTCAGGTCCTTGTAATGGTTATGGTGGCAACACCACTTTAATTAGGAATGTACATCCCCAATTGCAACACCAAGATCAGCAGCAACACGATGGATGGAATTCCCTCTGAATGTTTTGGGGGAGGGGGGGGAAGGGGAAGAATGAAATGCATAAATTAGTCACATTAACTCTTGCATCGAATCAGTTCTTGAATAAACTTGTGTTGAAACCACTATATAGTTTCATCTTAATACCTTCTCAGAGCACAGCTTCCGCTGCCTACGGGGAGATGCGATGCCGTTCACCAGGGTAGGATTTGCCAGCTTCTCTTGCTGTTCCCTGTGTTAGTGTTTTATCGTTCAGCCGCGGGGCCTGGGGTTTTCCATGTTTGGATGTTTTCTGGGTGTTTCTGTGTTTGGATATTTTGTGTTGCTCCTTGATTTATTTGACAGGGAGGGTGTAAAGATTTCCTGAATTGCCACCAGAGTTGATTCTTTTTTGGTATTTTGATAAAAAAGCTACAGGTTGAAAATGTCAAATCCCAAACTCCATTACAAAGGCTAAGAGCCAAAAGATGGGGTGGGTGGAAAGTTTTTACATTGTTTCTTGTTAGGACAAAGGAGATTCTTTCTCTAGGGCCACCTGTCTGGTGCCTTTCAGAACTACTAAATTCACTTAAGAATGAAAGAGCAAGAGAACCCTGTTTAATATAGGGATAGGGAAGAGATAGGAACTGTAACTGCTCCGTGAAAACTAACGTTTAAAAAGCATTTTTTGTGTTCTGGGCACAAAAAAACGTCATTAGAACTAAAGCTACTCATTGAAAATAAAAACAATCGTTATACCCATATTAGGCAATTTTTACAGATAATAATCAGTTTCCCTCAATATCTGTATCACAGTGCTGCAGTAGCAGATGGCTTTTTCCAAAGGACACAAATCTCTAGCTAATATATCTCCATTACCTTTAGGAGGGTGAAGCTAATTTATACTGCCTCTGGATCTAGCTCACAGCTCCTTGTCTGCCCATCCTAAAAATATTTTACTGTGATTTAGCAGCTGTGTGCATAACCTCTGAGGGACCAGGGCTGGCATATTGCAGGAGAGGATCTCTTTCTTCAACATCTTGCTTCAGCCTGGGTGTGCACAAATGGTCTGTCAGTATGAAGACAAGGGCCTGTGGTGTTACTGGCCCTCTACAGATATGGAAATGAGATAAATGTGGTCATCCTTTTTTCTCTTTTTCCTCTTTTTCTAGTTTTTACCATATGCAGTTAGCAAGCCTTCATGTGCCTGTCTGCTGTAGTCTCTGAGCGGTTCTTGTGCGTCGAGCAGCGCAGGTTGCCAGGCACGGAGCAGGGGATGTGGTAGCCTGCTTCTCTCTGGGCTTTCTGCACAGTGAAAGTGCTTATGACTGTCAGGGAGACTTTTAACCAACTGTGGCTGGCTTCAGCTTTGGCACAATCCCTCTCTATTCCTGAAATATGCCTGAGAGCACTCAAAGGTTAGGATCTAGTCATATTAGAAAGACAAAGCATAACTTTCGGGAGGCTAGGGCTACTTAGCTGGGGGAACTGAACATGAGCAGCACTGAGGTTAAATATCAGGAAGTAAAGATAAACTTGTTTCTAATGAAAAGGCACAACGTGGTCCCTACTTTAGAAGGGATTGAACCTTGGAGTTGTAATGCTTTGTTCCCTTTGGGAGGGAGGTAAAGGCCTGTGACCCCTGGGTTTCATCCCAAATTCTGTGGCTTCGCTAGCGTGTGGGTCTGTTACAAAGACTGTTAGAAGGAGCAGCGTGGAGCTTGTGTTTTTAGTCATTCAGTTTTTCGTGGCAGCAGAACACTCCCTTTTCATCCTAGGATCCATTCCCCAGTGTGTACTGAGCAATGTGATGGCACAAGCCTGTCCTTTTTCTTTTCCAAACACATACTGTTTACGCATTGCTAAAAAAAGTTACTAGTCTCTTTGGCCAAATGCGAAAGGCACAGTGGTAGCAACCTTCTAGTACATATTTGTGACCCGCTTTCCTCTGATTGAGAACCCCGAATCCTAAGTCCCTTACCTGACTTTTTCTCATCAGGTAAGTGGCATAGGGATGTGGCTTGGTAGGCACACATCCCCTTGCCCCCTGCCCTGTCTCTCCTGGCTGTGTGCATTGTGCCTCCCTCTTTAACTTGTGTGTAATCGTGTGATTTTGTGACCTCACAAGTAACTGCCACCTCCATGGCAACAGATGCTGTCAAAAGCCTCAGGTTCGCTTGGAGGATGAGGAGTGAATTGCCAGGAACCAGCAAGCGAGGCTGAAGAACAGAAATCTGAAGACGGCAGGCAGCTTCAATACGTGGGAAAAACAGTGAAAAAGCCTAGCGCCACCAGGATGGAGTAGGCCGTTAACGTAGATTTGAAAGGGTAGTTCCCAGGTAATGGAGAGAAGGGGCGATGGAGAGAGAAGGCTCATCTTACTCTGAGGCATCGAGGGACCTGAACCACCTCTTGCGTGGACGAATGCTCTCCCTGTAGGAGAAAAAGGCAATTAACGTGTGTGGCGAAGAGCGAGAAGAAACAGCAACCGTGACAGGAATCGTTAGCTCTGGCTTCTTTTGTGTGGGTACCGCAAGGTCAGAGCTTGAACAAGGGGAAAACCGGCATATGTCTTCGCTAACAAGCATGACAACCAAGTAGCTGAGTCGATTCATGTTGCGATCCAGAGAAACCCTAGTCTTTGACAGGATCTGGGAAGTGAGGTAAGAATACTTTTTTTTTCCCCCTGAAAGACAGTAAATCTTTTTTAGGGTCACGTGGTTACGTACAAGTGAAATTTGTGATTGAGGTACAGCTACTTCTAAGGTGGAATGCAGCAGTTCAAACACTGATATCTCAGCAGAGCTAGTGAGGAGAGAAAGAGAAGGCTGCTTTGTCCGGTGTACTGTAAATACTCAGCAGATGGAGTCTCATATGCTGAGCTCCAAGTGGAAACGGTCCATCAATAGAAACTGGCAGAAGCCCAAGCCTGAGGTACAAATGCATCGAATTATGGGGTGTTCGGTATTCAGATCCAGACGTGAATTTAGACTTGAGCCTATATCTGGAAACATTAACTGATAGAAATACATCCATGCAAGGATGGATTCATGGATTCAGGATTCTTTAAGCTGTAAGTGCCGACAATGAATAGATCCTAATATTGCAGTCAGATTTGAATTCCTTATTCCAGTACCACAAATTACCAAGCAATAAATAAAGGGCAGCTTATTGCAGTATAAGATTGTCACAGTTCTATGATAATGGAAGAAAAGCAGTGTTTTTCAGTCAATGACACACGTGTGCATGCGTATACTTTGCTATGCTATGAATCTCACAGCCTTGATCAGGTTCCTCTGATAGAGGACCAGTGTGATGATTAAATAACTCAGTATAGTTTGACACTGTGCTGACGTTTTGCATCACTCGCACCTTTTATTATCACTTTCTCTCTATATCCCATTTCAGAAGAGGATGCTAAGAAAAGCCAAGCCAGATTTTTTTTGCACATGGATGATGTGAATTGTCTAGTTTTCACAGGAAGCGTGTTTATCCTTGTTACCATTGCATTTATATGGATTCTGTCAGGAACATCTCTCAGCATTCAGCAGAAATTCTTGTTTTAGGTGAAGGAAGACAAACAAATACCAAAAATTTCCTTTAAGTGTTCTCTGTGCTTCAGTGTTAATAGAGACCTTCCTGCTTGTTTCCTGCAGATGGAAAGTTACTGGAAGACTTGTCACAAATGGAGTCCGTTGTTCATAGAAAGCTTGTATTTTCTATTGGTTGTAGTATGTTACTTTCCCTGGAGCCATCCCTTAAGCTCCATTTTTACATGTGGCCAAGTGCACAGCCTAATTTTCAGACTGGGTGAACACCTGATTTCAGGCAGATTTCAAATGTACTTTTGGGTTCTGTGCTCTGAGTTGCTTGTCTGTCTGTTTGAGATCATGTAGTAGCAAATCTATAGCAGAGGTGGGAATACACTCCAGAAGTTGTTTCACACCTTGTCTGACCCGTTCCCAAGTCTCATTTGCCATCCTGGAGGCATAGCATGGACCATTCATTTTCAGGGAAATGTTTGAAATGTCTCTGTGAACTAGTTTCTTAGTTACTGTAGCTATGGAAATTACAACTTATCAATTGAAATAAATGACATAGTTGTGGAAAGAGGCTACCTTTATTTTTCTTTGGAACCAAATAGATTCCTCCAGGAAATACAATGCATAGAAGTCACAGCTCACAAGAGTGATTTTGATTGCTGAACTCTCTGGTCTAGCAGAATTATTTGGTAAGAAACATTTGAAAAATGAACACATTGGCATTAGAAGCGTAGAGTGCTGCCAAATTCAGCATTGGGTACGCAGCTGTTAGTAACAGTATGGGAAGATAGATATCTACCTGGAGATGAAGATTTTGCAGGGAAAAGACTTGTTCTTTTTTCGTATGACTACGGATAGCCAAATGGGTTTTAATGATAATAATAGATGTTCCACCTGATGGAGCGAGTACCTTATGGACCTCCCAAACACATTGTCAGTTGCCTTTTTTCAGGCAGTTAGTTACCTTTCCTAAAATAATTTGAGGGGATTGTGAAAAATGGCAAAGTCTGTAGGTATGATATAAGGCTATGAATCAACTGATAGGGGCAGATCAGAAAAACGTCGTATGTTCAAACAGTTTGGGCAGAAAAGTACCTGATTCTGCAGAGTGCTGAGGGTCTCCTATGGAGTGTTTGTGAGGCTTACTGCATCTAGGAGGAGTTGAATTTACAATACCAGGATATATCAGAAAAAGATGGATTAGTATCTGTTTTTGAAAATCGTTCCCTCAAAGTAAATTTTTATGTGCGTTTGGTGCAGATTTTTTGTATGTGACTTTGTCCTACACTTCTGTCTTTATGGAGGCTGTCACATAGCCTGCACCTTTTTGGGAAGCTGGATTAAACTTCAGACGTGCAGTACTGAGTTCCAGTTCGGAAAGAATCTACTTCATAGTTCTCAAGAGTTGGTGTGTATGAAAACCCAGAAGACTTGGTGAATTTCGGAAGAACCCACCAAATCCTGTTCTCTGGTACACCACTCCAGTTCCATTGATTTAAACTGATTTATATTGGCAAGTAAGTGAGGAGAATGAGAAGGCAGCAAGTTGCAAGATCATGTGAAAAGCCTATGATTTCACTTTAGCAGATAGGTTCTCCTTGTTTGATTTTTTTTCTATTATATTGCAATAAATTAGTCAATAGTCTGGTTGCTGTATTCAGGGATTAATGTCACTGACAGTTCATGACAAATAGAACATATGTTCTCTTGGATGTACCATATTGCTCTGCTTATGATTGCCTTTCATTGTGCACACTAGTCGGAGAAGAAAAACTCTTCCTCATTAATATTTGTTTGAACATACTTCTACCAGATGTAGATTACAGTGGATTTTTTTTTTCCCATCTGGGATATATCAGTATAGATACCAACAAGACAATGGACAGATTATATGGGGCTATTTGTACCTGTTAAGATTGCGTATGTCCCTGGTGTTATTAACTCATGTAATCTCATGTAATCTTATTGGTTTTCTCTAGGCAAATGGCTTTTCTGTCAGGTACAGTATCTTTGTAGGGGATGTGAAGGAACTCATTTTTAAATAACAAGGAAATTGCAACTCTGATCTGAAAGATACAGCCCTGGAGATTGAAGGGCACAGATCTGCAACCAAAGTGAAATTGCATTTTCAGCATACAGTACTCTCTCGGAGCCTCCAGCCCTTACTATGACATATATGCCCTTACTATGACACGTTTGTCAACATACAGAACCTTGACGTTTTTTGAATACCTGTTTTTTAACTCTAAGCCCATGATACTTTAATTAGGGCTCTCAACTCTTTAGAACTTCTCCTAGCCTGATATTTAGCTCTTTTGGGGGATTTATTCATTTTGAAGAAGAACATATGTGCAGTATGTCCAAGCTTCTTTATATAACTCGCATTAGAAATCAAGCTGTGCACTGGGCTGACTTTTTCAAGAGTTTAGTCCAGCTTCCTAGGAACTGAATTTTGGTTAGTTCTCTGGAAGCTAATGGAAACTGCATGCCTTCATTAATATGTTTAATAACAATGCTATTTGAATTGATACCCTTTGAAATTGAAATAGTCTAGTGGATTGTGTTCTCATGGCGTACAGATCTATTTCAGGCAGCTGAATCTAATGTTATAGCGAGCTGTGTGGATCATGGGCTGAGTTTCTCTTATAATTTAACTTAAAGTTTATCTTTATTTAAACAATGCCTGGCATTCTTTGGAGTAAGAGCAACCAGGCCCTATAACCGCCAATGTAATATCCGTTTAATGACGCTTGTCTCGTACATAAACTGTATTTTAAAAAAAATGCTAAGGTTTACCTTCACCAAAACACACTTGCAGGTTGAAAAACAAGCCATCTGTGTAAATTTAGGGATTCGGTGAAGACAAGAAAGAAGTCCTCCCCAGCTCACCGGACTTTTTTCAAATGAGTTACAAGGCCCTCAAGGCACAGACGGGCAGAGAAGGTCCCTGCATGAGGAACATTTGATTCCTACCATAGCTGCCTTCAGCACAGCTCCTGGAGGATTCGGTGCATATTAGCTCTGTGACAAGTCACAGTGACACCTGTGGAAACATTTCACTTGAAATGTGGAATCACACTCTCTCTTATGTGGTAGTTTTGTTGGATAGTATAGTAATGCCCAGCAGATGGGTTTCCTTCGAAAGGAAGGAAAGGAAGCAGCCTTACCTTATCTCTTTCGTCAAGATCATCTTCCTATCAGTAATTTTATGTAACACGCAGAGGCATCTGATGGAATAATAATGTGCTGCAAGAACACATGATGTTTAAATGAGTGGGCTATTGGAGCTTGTTGGAAAATGGATTTATTTTTCCTGGAATATTAAGTTAAAAAATTTTAGGTTATTGCATACTTGACATTTAACTTGAAAGTTGAATATGCCTCAGAAAAGTTTCCACACTTCTTCAGTTGAAATCCTCTGTTTTTTGTGGAAATCCTTTTGATGATGGGTGACCTTTCTCGCAGAGTAATGAGCTTTGAAACGTGCAGCATATTTCACAATGAATGCAGATTCTCTCAAATGTTTTAGCCCCGCTACCAAATCCACATAAACTCCTGCCATTCCCATATAAAATGTACACTTCTTGTTTGATGTAAATTATTATCATTTCAGTAAGAATCTAGCTTGAGGTGTAGGTGCAGAATTTGATAGTGAGGTCAACAGAATGGGCTTCCTAGTGTGATAAAGCTGTAAATAGTGTTTTAGTGAGAGCTGATTTTTATTGAGCTGCATATGGGGAATGAGAGGAAATGGAAACGTTGTTCTCTGTCCTGATTTTGATTTCATCTGTGACTGAGAAACGTAGCTTACAAACCAGCTACTTCAGAGATGGGGTGAGGGAAGTGCCAGAAGTAAAGGGACGCATGTTTCCATGTTTGAGTTCAGTGAGGCAAAGCCGAGCTCAGTAAGCTGACAGGTACTGAGGGCTGGAGACGCGTACTCTGTACCTAGAGCAAAGTAGAAATAAGAGAGGAAAATGAGACTTAGGATCGTCTTGCTTTCTGATCTGCTTCTGGAGTGAAGCAGCATGCTGCTTCTTGCTTAGGTTGTCACTACAGTGTTACTCTACTCTGTGTTAGTTCTTTTATTGCACACACCACCTTAATATCTAGATCAGGGA